AATAATAATAATAATAATAATAATAACAATAACAATAATAATAATACCTCACTTGCCAAAGTGAGAAAACAAATTTGATGACAAAAATGTAAAAAGAAAGGTTCACAATTTCAAAAAGAAAAAGAATGCTGCACGTCATAGTAACAACATTTCAGAATAGAACAGCAGACAAGAAGGAAAACTCAAAGCCAATCAACCTTCTGCTGTGTGTTTTAATGCAGATTTGAACACTTCATAGAAATGTCCAGCTTTTATTTTACCTCTYCAAAATAACGCACAGACAGATGTAACCTAATGATACATGTCTGAACTCCAGCGAAGCTCTTCACTGCAAGTGTGTCTTTTTAGCTATAAACCATTCTCGTGATCTAAAATCCTACAGGAAGGGGAAAATAAATTAAGCTAACATATCTCGTCGATCGGCAAATGTAGCATGAGTTTTAAAAGATAAAACTTTTGTGAGTTTGGCTAAAACAGTTTGTAGGTCAGAGAGGAGATTGAGTAGGTTGTTGCACAGCCTTTGAGCTTATACGAGCACAATAAAACTTTCTTTTTTCTTTTACCATTTATCAGTAGGGGTCGTTATTATGCATAGTTCATCAGATAAACCCTGTTTTTCATGTATTTTTAATGACTATTTTTGTGTCTTCCTCACAAGGGTGTAAAGATTTGTTAACAGATAGTGGAATGTTAAAGTTGCTGTATAACCAAGAAGCTTTACGACCCTGTCAGTTATTGACTTGGGAAGATAAATCCTTCATTACCGATGATTGCAAGCTCAGTATGTTTCATCTGTAAACAGAGATATTTGAACATGGCCAAAAGAAAACCTACAGTTGTGCTTTTGCTTCACGTTGGATGCCTCCTGTGTGTTTCTACTCTTTGCTTGGTAAGGAAAGATTCATTTTAAGGGATGCTGAAACTATAAACTTGATTCATAAACTTTATAAAAATTAAAAATTTACAATAAATCCTTTTTAATATGAAAACTTTATATCTGTTTGTTTGCTATTCTGCAGCCCACTCCGAAGATCCCAGGTTAGTGATTATCTCAACCAATCTGCAGATTCCAGTCTTTCACGTCACTTTGACTTCAGCGTATTTAGATGCATTTGTTTTTATAGACTTGGATGTAGACGGTGGACGAGACCTTGACATTTTTGACATAAATGAAGGTGCGGGAATTAGTAGTGTTGAATTTGTTTTTCTCTGCAGATCTCAGAGTTAGCTTACTGTTCTAAATGTTATGTTCTTTGTCCCACCCACACAGCGGCAGGGCTAAATCTGGTGGAGGGGGACATTGTGATCGATGGGGTATATTCGCCTAAATGCTTTTAGTTTTCATCTCACACAGCTTCATTTCTGTAGATTTGAGTGTGGACTTATGGCTTTGTGATTGTTGTGTCGCCACTTCAGGATCAAACTCGAAATTCCATCATAGGGGAGGAGTACAGGTGGCCAAAAACCATTCCTTACTACATGGAAGATGACTTAGGTAAAACAAACAAAAAATAAACAATAGCTAATAGTAAAATATCACAAAATGTTTCTGTAAAAGGTGCAAATAGTCTGATTGTCCTTTCAAATTGTTTTTTTTTTACTTTTTCATACACTTTTAATCAGACCATTTATGCTTTGTAATAATCTCACAGATGTTGAATGTTCAAACCTAACCTGACTTTTTTTTTCTTCGTAAGGAAAAAAAAATTTTTTTGTTTAATGCTGCAGTAAACAATTAATCCTACATTATTTCCCAATCATTAACTGGTGTTTAGTTCAGAGTCATGTCAAAGTACAGGGCAGCATTGTTTAATGATTGATGTCCTGACATTGACAGCTAATCTCGAGACCACAAAAGTGAGACTTACACAATCAGATTTAATCTCATGCCAAAATCATTTAATGAGGTCTAATTGGGAATTTAAGCAGGATTATAAATATTCTAACCTTAAACAGGAAGACGGGATGTAACATTCAAATTTTCATTTTCTTTGAAGAGATCAATGCAAAAGGTGTCATTCTGAAGGCCTTTGAGCAGTACCGCCTCAAGACCTGCATTGATTTCAAGCCGTGGGGCGGAGAAGAGAACTACATTTCCATYTTTAAAGGGAACGGGTAAGACCAAGAAGACCTCATGTTTTATATGTTTATATGGGAAGACAAACTGCATTGAYTGAGGGGTTAAAGTATTGTAAATCCTGTGCACAAGTAAAACCTTTGAGATAAGACACTGCTGATTTTATATGATGTTCATAAAAACCTGACTTTCCCCCTTCAAAAGCTGCTTCTCCTCTGTTGGTAACCGGCGAGTTGGGAAGCAGAGGTTGTCGATAGGAACCAACTGTGACCGTATCGCCACCATAGAACATGAGTTCCTTCATGCTCTGGGCTTCTGGCATGAGCAGTCCAGATCCGACCGTGATGATTATGTCAAAATCATCTGGGATCACATCACAGAGGGTAAAGGACAATTTATTATGTATCCTCTCTTTAATATAGTATTTCATATCACTAACATACTGAGCAAAATATGACTTATACATTATTATAGAATGCAATATAATACAATATACAGTATACACAACACACTATACAATATCATATGATATATCGTACAGTATGACTCTACATCACAAGACAATATAATATACCATGATAAATTGTATTATAATATACTATGTAATATATAATGCAATATTATATTTGATACAGTTATAAGATGTAAATCATAACTAATATATAAAACATTACAGTTTACTTTACTGATGTTTTAAATAAGTTTTAAAATTATATTTTTAGCTTAATTTTGAAAAGCAAAACTCATTTTACAGCAAATGTGACAAGTATTTGGATTAGCTGTTTCCATGGCTAAAATCCTGACTAGATAAGCAAATTAAACATCCTTATCAGTGATAGTTGTGTTGACCTATGCTCATCAAATTAGTCTTTTATTAGAGTCTGTAATTAAAGTACAATGTGCTCTGATTTGTCAGCTCCATTCTGTCAAGGGTTCAAACACCTGTGGATAAATGTCAGAAACCTAATCTCTATGTTATACAAAATATATATATATTAAAGCGTAACAAAATCATTTTCTAATGTCCCGTATGTCTGATCTGCAGGCAAGGAACACAATTTTAACACCTACAACGACACCACCTCCAGCTCTTTGGGCATACCCTACGACTATAGCTCCATGATGCACTACAGTAAAAACGCTTTCCGTAATGGCACCGAGCCCACCATCGTCACAAAGATCCCCGCTTTCAGCGACGTCATTGGCCAGCGTATGGAGTTCAGTGACAGTGACCTGCTCAAGCTGAACCGCCTCTACAACTGCAGTAAGCTTCAACAGCCAGTATGTAGCCTGGGCTTTAGTTTTGCATCATAAAAAAATAACTCCAAGATGGTCACACTGCTCAGCTGGATCAATAGTTATTGTGAAGAAGGTGGCCGGAATTTTATAGAAGCTGTAAAACACCTGCGGTGGTTTATTGCAGTTCTAAGAATTTCACCAGTGTTTATGAAATGTCTTCTAGCTCAAGGCTCCACCTTTTTGGACTCCTGTGACTTTGAACGGGAGAACATCTGCGGAATGATCCAGGGGCAAGAGGATACAGCTGACTGGGTCAGGGTATCTGAAGCTGCCGGAGGGCCAAACGTAGACTACACTAACATGGGCAAATGCACAGGTAGTATAAAACTTGGCTTGTTAAAGAATTGATTTATAATTTGGTACAAGTCATATTCCTAAATGCGAGTTCAGAAATCACTGAGTTTTGTCTTGTTTTCATGGTGGATGTGGAAAAAAGTTGCTTGTTGAAACTGAAGGACAGCGTGTCAAATAGAAGAATTTTACAGAATTGAAGCCATAATGAAATTCTTTAATTTACTTTTAAAATTTGTTTTTTGGCCACATTTTAGCAGTTTTAGCATCTTTGGAAAACAACTTTGTGCAAGGTTATTTTTGTTGTTGTTTTTGAAGACATAAAACGGTGCCAGAATCCCCCCCCCCCCCCACATTCTATCTAAGTCGTGTACATTATGTTAAGAAGAAAAACAGACATTTTTTTTGTTCATTTTTCATCAAACTCTCAAATCTAATTACAACTCTGTACTTACGAACAACATGGGCTCTTAATTTAGTTTTATGTCACCGATTAGCGACATCAAAACATCTACAATGCGATAATGAAGAGCTGCATCCTTAATTCATGTAATTTATTTGTTTAGGCTCGGGGTACTTCATGCACTTCAGCACTGGCACGGCCAACATTGGAGACACAGCTGTGCTGGAGAGCAGGATCCTTTATCCCAAAAGAGGTTATCAGTGTCTACAGTTCTTCTACTACAACAGTGCTGGTTCCAGTGACACACTGCAGATCTTTGTCAGGGAATATGACAAAGCCAACCCTAAAGGAACTCTGCGCTTTGTAACAACTATAGATGGTGACTAAAGTCTTTTTCAGTATTCACACATTTTAAAAWTTTTTTTTGTTCATTTCTATGCAGTCTAATTCTACATAGTTTGTGTTATTTTAGCTTTTTATAGTCTATAACATTCAATATTTATATTTATTCAAAATAGGCTTCTTTTCCTCGTAACAGTACATTATTGTCCCTTATAATTTCTTTAAAAATGCTGTTTTATACACAATGTTTTTGTCCTAATGCTAATTGTATAGTTATCCTTAGGCTACCTTTAGCAAGACATTTGCAACTTTTAGCTGTTTTAGTTTGTAGTAAGCATCTGCTTGGCAAATTTGTCTTTATAATTTTGCTTAGTAAGCCTTTTAATACTATTAGCACCAAATTAGCCTTTTGCTAACTAGCTTTTTGCTGATTTTAGTTTCCCTTTTGTTGTTTTTAGTTTCAGCAACTTTTTTTTTTCCAACTTTTAGCTTTTGGCTAACCTTTTTCAACTTTTTGCTTCCAGTAAACCTTTTAGCATTTTTCCAGCCTTTTACTAGTATTTCGATTTCAGCTTGCCTTTCGCTATTTTCAAATTGTTTTGCAACCTCTCGCTACCATTTTCCTACTTTAAGCTTATTTGGCTACTGTTAGCCTTTAACAAACATTTAATTTTTTTTATTTTAGCTAGTATTTTGCTGATAATGTTCTTATGTTTCTTTCAACTTAGTTTCCATTTCTTCAGCAATTTTTACCAGTCATTCAGCACTCAGTGTTCACACTGTTTTTGAAATAAAAACTAAATTAAAAAAAGGCCATTTATTTTGTCGTTTTTAAAGTTCTACAGATAAAATCTGACTATTTTATACTTGCTAAACTCAGTGATGTTGCTTTTTTTTTGTGACAGGATCTCCCCAGGATCTTTGGCAGCTGCACCACGTGAGCCTAGATGTCAAAACAAAGTTCCGCGTTGTTTTTCAAGGGACCAGGGTGGGCTCTGGGCCTGCGGCTGGGGGACTGTCCCTGGACGACATCAACCTTTCTGAAACCACCTGTCCAGAGTTTATTTGGCGAGTGAAAAACTTTGCTCATCTTTTGGAAAACACCCCAACAGATTCATTTATTTTTAGCCCTCCATTCACCTCTAAGGAAGGTTACTCCTTCCAAATGAAGCTTTACCCCARCGGAAAAGAGGGTTACCCTGGGGAGCTGTCGGCCTACGCTAATCTGGTGGCTCGTGAAGGGGACACAGGGCAGACATGGCCTTGTCCTTGGAAACAGATCACCATGATGTTAATGGATCAGCACCCACACATTCAAAAACGCATGTCCAATCAGCGCAGTGTCACAACTGACCCCAACAAGATGACATCAGGTGCAGCTTTTTTGTCACATAATCAAAAATATTCAGTCATTTTAGGGGTGCAACGAAACAGAAAATTCATGATTCGGTTCGCTTCAGCACTTTAGTCTCACGGTTCGATATTTTTTTCGATGCAAAAAAGAGAAATTTCCGTGCCCTTTTTAACTTGTATTCTATTTAAATTAAGTATGAATATTTATTTATCCTCAAAAGTACAATTTTTTTTAATTTAATGTTGCTGAAACAGCAAGTTTCTCAGCAGATCTGCACTCAAAAATGCAGCCCAGGTGGAGAAGTCGAATGCAGATCCACTGATCCTTCAACATAGAGCATCTTCAGAAGACAACATGATAAAATAAAATTTAAAAATCTGTATTTTTTGATACAAGTGTGTATGAACATAAAGCACTGTATTGAACGGTTCGATATGGGTACATGTATTGTTGCACCCCTAATATATATATATAAGGGGTGCAACAATACATGTATCCATATYGAACCGTATCGAACAGTGCTGTATCGAACAATACAGATTTTAAAATTTTACTTTATAAACTTGTCTTCTGAAGACGCTCTGTGTTGAAGGATCAGTTTATCTGTGTTCGACTTCTCCACCTGGGCTGCATTTTTGAGTGCAGATCCACTGAGAAACTTGCTGTTTCAGCAATATTTAATTTAAAAACTGTACTTTTGAGGTTGAACAAATGTTCATAATTAATTTGAATAAATTACAAGTTAAAAGGGGCATGGACATGTCTCTTTTTTGTATCAAAAAAATATCAAACCGTGAGACTAAAGTATCGAACCAAACCGAACCGTGAATTTCCTGTATCGTTGCACCCCTAATATATGTATATATATATATTTTTGAGCGCAGGTCCACTGAGAAACTTGCTG